TCGTCTCGTCTTGTTCGAGCAATTATTTTAGCTTGCATGTTGATATCGTTTTCTGTAATTTTTGGCGCTTTTCTGTATGTTTTAATTATGTTTCCCTCTAGTAATTTGTTTTGTTTTGGGGAGTTTAGTTCATATAAATTTCTAGTTTTGTTTGCAACGTACGTGTTATGTGAACTGTTTATTTTAGTTATATCAACTTTTTGTTTTTGTTTTAGTTATATCTCCTTTTTGTTTCTTTTTAAAGAAAGCTTCTAGTTGTTTATGAAATTTTATCTTTCTTACTAAGTTAGTTAAATCTACCTCGAAGTTGTCTCGTTCCTTGTATTGCGGCGGGCATATTTCTTTGCTTGAAAACCGTATTTTTTATTTGGGTACGGCATTTATGCTAGCTTCTTGGTATGAGAAGAAATGCGCTTTTCATCTTATTCTTTTTAAGAGGCTTTCTATTTTTTTCTATTAATTATAGTTTATAGGTGGTTGATGGTGGAATGAGTATGCTTTTTAGGAACTAGTCGAAGCTAATTTTGTCCATATCCATGATAGGCTATAAATGTAGGGAAATGTCTCTAATGTTTATAAGGAATTAATGTATTATTTCTTATTCTCCTAATTCACCGGCAAAGGATTTGAAGAATTTGGGGACACATAGAACATATATGTGATGTTAAGTTTTAAGGAATCTATGTGCCCTTTTGAAAAAAAAACCTTTTTCTTCAATGCACTATTTTAGAAATATTTTTCTCTTTTTACCGGAATGTGCAGATAATACCAGTTTTTTGTGTCCTACCATATTACCAGTTTTTTGTGTCTTAATAAGTGTATGCTATCTGTATGTTTGTGTGCGTGTATAATCAAGCTCGCTTTAACTGTTACACATGATTCACTTTAGACTAATTCAAGTTCATTCACCGTACAAAATGCCAGGACGTAATCAACAAAATCTTGTCTACCACACTGACAATAGGGAGCAGAGAAAAAACATTTTTATAGTTACAAGCTGCGCTTTCCAGACATCCTTTGTATGATTATAACAAACACTTGTGAAAAATTTTAGGCCATTTCAGGCCAACATTCCCGGCACCCTCGCAATCGACTTTTTGTCAACTTTTACTGTACATCAAAAAATAGGCGTCATTAATTGTTTATAAATTGTGCATCGATAACATCAATTTAATTTCAATATTATTTAAGAGATACATCATATTAAATTATTAAAAGTTATCTTTTTTGTGCGGAGCCTGGACATCATTTTCCTAAACAATAAACTTTGCCTAATATACCCATCTCTCGCTTTGTATTACGTTATTTCAGTGCAAGCTTTCAGTCATCACTTTCGTCCGATTGAGTACTGTTTGGCCATTTGGGGAGTACTAATAGTTTCTCAAGAATGTCATTAAACTGTTGATCTGATAGATAAGCAGTGTAAGGAGGCTCACAGTTTTGAGTTCATTCATCCAGTTAATCATGGAATGAGTCTTTTGCTTGCCACTTTAGTTTGGGACTCACCAATGTTCTTATGATGACTACAGGAGGCACATCCTTATTTCCATCTCCATCTTCACTGTCCCCCTCCTCATCAGAGTAGTTTACCAAATCTTCATCAACAGCAGCAGCATAATCTCCCTCTTATTCAGATATCTCAATGCATTCTTCCATCTGCTGAATCTCTTTAATTTATCTTATCACTGAGACAGCTTTTTCTCTAACAGTCACGTCTTCATCTGCATACATATCAAGAAGTTGATCTGTGTGGGCTACGTATGCATTTCTCTGGATAGAGTTCTTCACTATCATCTTCAGGTTTTTCATATATAGCAGGGATTGGAATACGTTCCTTGAACCGTGTGTTACGTATAATCATGGCGTAGAATCACATTGGATCACTGAACCTTCTAAGTGTAATGATGATTCTTTTAAGCTCGTGGCTGAGTCTTGATGTTACTACACACAGCCTGAGGATTTTACTCTATAAAGTATTCCACCTTGCAAGGAGAACCTGGCTCAATAGCAGCCAAATCATCATCAACAGGACCTGTAATAACTCCTTTACAAATCCTATACAGGTATTTCTGATCCCAGGACAGATCTTTCTTCATTTTTTCATTCAAGACAGAGAAATCAGTCTAACTGACTGGCTGGAAGACAACAACTGGCAGCTCAAACAAAGGCTCCTTGATATACTTTCCAATCGGACCAAGCCAATGTTCAGGACCACGTGGTTTACCATTATAGTAAACGGCGGAAAGGCAGCTCATTTCCGTGAAACTGACAGATGAAATAATGGAGTGGGTTAAAAAGTAACATTTCAAAATAGTGAAAGGACCCATTTTCTGATCCTTCATTTACATTGATACCCTCACTACAAAGACATGCAATGAGCTGCTGGGTTAGATTGTCCCCCAACAGAAACTCGCGTTTTGGCAATCTGCTTTCCGCGTCCAGACTTGGGAGTCACCTGTGTGAGTTATTCATTGCCAGACGCAACCATGATGACATAATGATCTTGAACCATCATCCTCGAACTCCATTTATTAGTCTTCTCATTCTTTACCATCACACGAGTGACAGTCTTATTACCATCAAAATACAATGACGCCATCTGAATTTCTTACCTCTTCAATCGTTATTTTTGTTATAGTTTTTTGTGTATATATATATGTAACTAGTGAGTTAGTCAAAATGACTTAACTCCCTTTATAGTCTACCAATAGAAGGTTAACCAATCAGAAGCCGAAGAACATTGTATCCGTCGTGTATAAAGGCGGCCATTTTTGTTTAACCTACCCGAATGACCCGTGCCAACTTGTCAGGCGATGATGACAGAAGGAAGTACTACGCTCTGCTATTTTGCTGCGATATCCACTGCTAACCTGAACCACGCTTTCCTACTGTCTCCGAAATATTCACTGCTAATCTCTGGATTCTATACTCGAAGACGACCGTCAAATTGTCTAACAATTTTTGTCTCGCATCTCGAAGCTTATGCGGTTCACTAATTTGACTCTTGTCGTCCTTTGTGATAATGCGATAGTCAGTTAAGGCAGCATATGACTGGACAATCCTGGACGACCATCTTGATAATTATTGATACATATGCAAACTTTCCATCAACACATTTATATCTCGGGCACATTTTTAACATCTCGCCTTTCGTAGGAAGTTTGTCCACTGGAAGAACACTTGCAGAGCCAAACAATGCATAATCTGTGACTGTCCTCCTTAATAAAATAGCCATTCCAATAGCAAAGTGATCAGTTAACCCGATAAGAAAATCGAAAAGTTACTAAAGGAACAAAATTGAATACAAACATTGTATATTCGTACATTACACTGCATCAACACAACATAAGTAAATTTTAAAATTTCACTTGTAAATGCTGCAGATTAAACTTCGACCTATCAACTTCAAATTTGGCATGGGGTCTTAGATATGTATAAGGAACAATATATGAAGAGAGCAGCTTTCAGGAAAATTTAACTGCTCCCTACACTGACAACACGCAGCTCTTGATAATGACTGAGACGGTCAAAAGTAATTGAAAAAATATAGGTCAAAAGTTTAGGGAAATCAACTGGATTTTGAAGAATCGTCTAGAAATTGAAGGTTGGATGCCTTTATCAAAACTAATTATCTCGGTCACTTTAAGAAAGAATTTTCTCAAGAAGAATTTTTAATATATACACAATAATAATAATAACGAAATTAATCAGTTAGGACATAAAGTCTCCTTAAAATGTTTTCTCTCTACCTAATCTACATTGTTGGTAAATGGTAATCTTAGGGCTAACGGATTTGAACATTTTAGATAGATTCCCCTTCCTAAAATTTTGGACGCCACGCACTAGTGGGTCAAATCGTATCAGCATCCCAGCATAGTAGGAGTTATTTAAACCAATGTAGGTATGAACCCTATCAATTATTATATCCAGAGACTATCTCCAAATTGTTAGGATATATATATATATATATATATATATATATATATATGTGTGTGTGTGTGTGTGTGTGTGTGTGTGTGAGTGCGTGGGTGTGTGTGTTGACAAAGAGACAAAGAGGGTGAAGGAGAGGGGAGGAGAGAAACAAAAGATAAAGAAGACAGTTAAACTTAAGAGCATTTACACTCCAGTCAGACACGAGTAAATTTTTATCGAAACGATCTTTGTTATACATATATATATATATATATATATATATATATATATATATATATATATATATATATATATATATATATAGTGGTTAGAACGTTCGATTTCTGACCATGAGACTCAGGTTCGAATCTCACTATATTTGATTTGTTAAGAAGGAAACTATCAGACTGTGATCGTGGTGCGGCACCTTTGGAAAGTGTCCGAAAACCATACCATTGGTTAACCCAAGCCCTGTGAGTGAAATTGGGGAGAGGGAACTCTTCGGGGTCGTTGATAGTCATCGTGGCCGAGGGATTGAGCATGCTGGTCTTGTTCAAATTGATGATCATGCTAGATAATACACTCTCTCCCAGAAACTGTAACTAAGGTCTGTTCAGAACAGTTACAGAATAAATAGGTGGGCTCTCTGGGTGTTGATCAAATACACAAATGTCCCTGAGCGAGCGTATGCAAAAGGGATTGGCTAGCCACCCGAGTAGAAGGTATCATCGAATACGAGTGGCTATTATATATATATATATATATATATATATATATATATATATATATATATATATATATATATATATATATGAATATAATCAAATGGATAAATAATAAACCAACGTAGGGTATTAAGTATATTTTTAATATATATATATATATATATATATATATATATATATATATATGCACACATTTTCCTCGCCAATAGCTATGAGCTTTATGCATAACGCAATCTTCTGGTGCTGAATTAGATTGTCTCAGCATTTAACAGCTGAAGATTGCGTTGTGTATGTAACCCAGAATCGTGGCACTGATATGGAAAAATGTATATTGATATATAATTTATAGCTCTGTTATTTTACATCGAGCACTATTTTATTATCATGAGTGTGCGATATTGTATATAGATAGATAGATAGATAGATAGATAGATAGATAGATAGAGAGAGAGAGGGGGGGAGAGAGAGCGTGAGAAAGAGTTTGCATTCCTCTGCATACATGAATACCAACACTTGATATTTTGTGCTTTAACATGTAAGCTAGTCGTCCATCCTCCAGCGGACAAAAGCTGCCTCTGGGAGATTAGCACGGCCGCTATTCGGACTGCTCATTGACTCGGAGACATTCCCGAAAGATGTCAGTGGCGGGCATAAATGCCGAAAAACACAATAAAACACGCCAGGTCTACTTTACGTAGGCTTTGTCACAAATGTGTGAATATTTGCTTTGTCACTGTGACCGAGATTCAGAGGCTGGGGAAAGAGAAAATACAGAATTAGACATAGAAAGTGATGCCAATGGCTGACCAAAGTTTTGTCTTCGGTGGCAAGCCTAAAATGTTATAAATACAATCTTTCTCTTTGATAACAATAAAAACGCCCTGGAGTGATTTTAAAATGTCATAATAACAGTGCAATAATGTAGTAAACACATTAAAGAAAGGACATTAAGATGTCAAGTATCTGTTGGGATCGTACGTGCACCATTGGTCAAGATCTTGGTTTTTAAGCTGACTTTGTTGGTAGTCTATTGCTATTTATTGTGGTCAGTTATCTGACAGGTTTTACTAGAACATAAAAGTACTGATAGCAACAACCATGGTCAATTAAAAAAAAAAAAGGTTGTATAAAAAAGCAAGATTCTCATTTCTAGACTAGAATTTACGTACTTAACTTCATCCAAATATTTATAGCATCGAAGATTTTATCATAAAATGATTGAACCGAATTTCTAGTAAGCCTCTGTTTTAAAGGTGAGTTGAGGAGACCAAGTTTTAAAGAAGGAAAAGAAAATATGTGAAATAGTAGTTGAGGATGAGGCAGTAGTATTTTACAAAATTTACGAAATTTTTACAAGGAGGTGAAGGAACTATCTGAAATATTTGTAAAGACGTCCATATGTATTATCTTTGATCTTACAAGTATTTAAATGAATGCTGTATAAAAAACACAACTCCATATGTTAAAGAATACACGAATGTATGCAGTAAAGATTGGTTGTTGTTTTTTTTTACGGTTTATCAACACTTTGTGAGTTGAAACATATTTTGGAATATGAGAATAAGTGTTTGAATCTTACCATGACCAATTTTTGAAGGAGGTGAATTCTTGATAATATCGGTCAAAGGAGACGATCCCAAACGTGCGACCCCGATGGAAAGTACCTGAAATTGGGAAGACGAAACTGTTCGGAAGTCTTTGTTGGTTGTAAAATTTGTAGATAAAAGATCTTTAGCCTTGATTGGCAAACGAACTGGGTTTCGTGTCGCGATAAAAGCACTCATCTCCCTACAGCTTAGCTTCACATGGGGATGAGTAACCCTGAAAATTCAAAAGAGCGCAGTATGGAGTAAGATATATATATATATATATATATATATATATATATATATTCATTTCCTAGCGAGATGTAGAATCCACTTTTGGAGAATGTTCAAGGTACGCACACCCACTAAGTGATTGATATTGTCCGGACCTGAATAAAAAGTAGTATATAATGATGGTGATGACTGAATTGATAATAGAAAATATTATGTAATTAAGCAAGGGTAATTATTTATACGCGAATAATAATAATAATAATAATAATAATAATAATAATAATAATAATAATAATTTTTTTTCTTCTTTATGTTTTTAGTTTTTTCTTTTGCAAAAATTCCACGTGGAAAATGTCATGAAGCCATTTCTGTTCTTAGGTCTCTGGTTAGGAACCGGAAGGAAATGTACATAGAACACAAATCAATCGAAACAATAATAATAATAATAATAATAATAATAATAACAATAATAATAATATGTAACAAATTTAGGGGACTTTAGGTATTGTACACACAGACAGAACAATCAATGCTAATAGCTCAGGCATCGTAATCAAATAGCGCAAATAACATAATGTGCTTTCTTATTGAAATGTATCTTTGAAGATCTTAAAAAAACTGTCAAAATGCAAGGATCTTGAAGTGGTAATCTAAAAAATATGGCACTTGAGGATATCAATAATTCTATTTGTATTTGGAGCCCCCGGATTGATTGATAAAGAGTTTAGCTTCGTCTGATATACCTGCAGAAGAGACTGCCAGGTAAAGATCTTATTGTCATTTCCAGATGCTGTTCACGAAATGACTGAAATTTGTCTATAAGGAAGCGCGAGATAAACTGATGTCTGTTGTTAGTTTCAATAATTAAGTGATCTATGGGTAGAAAGTGACTTGTGATAGTATAGTCACATTGTGTTTAATATGGTAAACGAACTATATGTAGTCAGCAACAAGTAGCTTTCGTGCATAATCAAATTTTGCGAACAATAATAAATCAGTTTATAATATAAAAGTCCGGAATCAGTTCATAGTATATTACTGTTCAAAGAATGTTTTTTTCCCATTTATTGGCATATACTTATCAGATCATTGCCCGATTTTCATTGGTTTTAATTTTCTAATCGGGCACGACCTTTCGTAATGATCTAATACATACGTAGGATGAACATTAACACCTCGAAACAATATCGTATCGAATGGCCGCCTAAGCCTGCTTTCTTCCCTCTTGAAAGGATATAGAACAAACCCAAGTGAAATAGGAATGAAACACTTCTTTAACTGTTAAAATAGACACTAAATTATGAAGATTATTTCTTTACCGATACAGACTTAAATGTAAATAAAACTTAAATTCTATAAAAATTAAAATTCGACTTTTATTTTTATCGTCCATCGGCTAGAAATGAAACCGGCGAAGCAAGTATCCATTGCATATTTTGAACGTAATTAAAAGTCGAAATTGAAGTGAAGCCTGTGTTTATTGCATGAAAATAATAAGTTTCGCGTGTTGGTTGTTAGATTTTAGGCTAAATAGAAACCGATTCCGACGATTATTAAACGGAAAATCCGATGCCATAACGTGTCAAGGCCAAGAAGGATCTTAATTTGAAAATAAATTACCTGAAAATCGACGATTATTATGAAAATCGAAATTCAATTAGGTTTTAATCAAATTATATACGACAGAAGCGAGTTTTGCCAATGGTCTGAAAATTCTAATTAATTCTCCTCGAATTAAAAAAAAATAATCAAGGTTCATTTCAATTAAAAAACAAATTGTAAATTACCTTCATAAGATATATGATCGTCGTCTGTTTTAAATGTAAACTTCGAAAGGAAATACGAATTCTTTTCGGGTAAGCGATTGATAAAGAACGTAATTGAAACTGAATAATACGATAATGAATCCATATTAATAGAATCTGATATTTTAATCGAGTTAAATTATAATTAAAACGTTTCTGTTATAGTCGAATGTCATTTAATGTAAACAAATTAAATAAAAGTATTAACATCAGCGCCAATGAATAAGCAAGCTATATATGCAAGATAAATGACTCCTAGCAATGGTTTGAAAATTGTAATTAAATTTGAATTCGAATTAAGTTTTCTGATAAAATCTAAAGCGTGTGTTTTTCTATTTTCAATGTAAATACAAATAAGACGTTTTGGCAATGATTTCAATTAGTTCAGAATTAGAATTTGACTGTTATTATTCAAGTTTTAATTATTAAAAATGGCGGCTCTAATTTCTTCATGTAATATTAAATATAAAAAATGAAATCAAGCTTTGATCAAAGTGAAATCGATGCTAAATGTGTTTTGCTTCTATTAATAAAACCAGTGGTGTAATCTATGCAAATAAAATATATACATCAAAGAAGAAAGACAAATCAACATGAGCCGAGCAACTTCTTTTTACCATTGAGAAAAAACGCCAATGCGCCACTTAGACCTTTTTATGGAACATTTCCATGCAGAGAAAATGGAAAATGCGTGAAAAAGATATCAGACGAACTATTAAAAGGAAACTCAAAATGATGATGGCTATTTATCCTAAAGCTCTTCATTGATTATATTGTCTTGGCCAAAAGTTTTGTTCGGTTTATTAAGTACATTCTCTAATTAATAGGGGAAAACATTTTTTTAATCGCGTATCACAATTTCTCTTACAAAGGAAGTAAATATTCTACCGGAAAGAAGAAATATAATTCAGACACAATTGTCAATTATTTTCTTTTGAAATTGCTTTTGAGACTAAACAACAGCAGGTATTCACCGACTAAATATATAAGAGTTGGCATCTACGCGGATGACACCACAATTTATTCCTGCCTCAAAAACAAATCTAGTGTCACTGACAAAAATAACCTGGCCGTGCGTCTCGAAAAGGACCTCCAATCGGTTGTGAACTGGTGCAGGAATTGGCTGGTCAACTTTAATGCTTCAAAAACAAAACTGCTCTCTATTAATCACCACAGAGATCGTTCCCTGCCCTCCATTAGAATGTCTGACGCTCAACTTCTCGAGAGCACCTCTCTGCAGCTGCTCGGTCTCACGTTGACTGCTGACCTGAGATGGAACAAATATATTGAGTCAATTGCTTCGTCCACCGCAAGGAAAGTTGGCTCCCTGTGTTGCGCCAGGAAATTTTTCTCCCCGGAATCGATCCTCCAGATCTACAAATCAACAATTCGCCCTTGCATGGAGTATTGCTGCCATATATGGTCTGGATCCCCTTCCATTTGCCTCGGGGTTCTTGATAGGCTCCAGAGGCGGATATGCAATATAATTGGCCCTGATCTGGCATCTCGTCTACAGTCACTTTCTCACAGACGCACCGTCGCCTCTCTCTGTCTGTTTTACAAATACTTTCATGGCAATTACTCCGAGGAGCTGCATTCGCTGGTTCCCAGACTTCATGTGTTCAAGCGCCCTATGAGGCTGACATCCCGCTCTCATTCCTTCACTGTCAAAACTCCTAAATGTAGCCGTCTCTTCTACTCCAATAGCTTCATGTCTCGCACCTCTCGCCTGTGGAACTCCCTTCCCTATTCCAGTTTCCCTGAGAGCTATAATCTCCAGCTATTCAAATGTAATGTCAGTCGACATCTCCAGCTGCCTTGATCTATCCACAACCCTTCTCCTCATCCTTTCTTCTATCACTCCTATCTGATCTTG